CCCCCCCCCCCCCCTTTGGTTAAGGAGACTCAGTTAAGGAAAATGAATACATACAAATATACATATAGTATAAATACTAAGTACTATAGATGCGTATGAAGTGCCAGGATATTTCCTGTAGGTTTGTTTCAGCACTTGAAGTGGCAATATTCCTCCTGAATTGTGTGTGTTTAAGCTCGTGTTATATAATGCATATCTCTTTATATAGTTTTTTTCTGGACTGAAGCATACATATTTCTAGTTTGGGTATAAATGTGGCCAATAATGTGTTAGCAAACCTTTTTTGTGCTTATTAACTGTTCTCAAGTATGCATATAGCAGAAAGAGCACTTAATCCTAAGAGCAGTAGTGTTGTAGAGCTCTGGTATGATGTAGCTGTGTATTGACTCCAGTGGAATTTATCATATCTATTTGTCATAATCAAGAAAATGCATATGTCAGTGGCAGCTGACACTATCCCAGATGAGCATAGGTGGTGTTCTGTTTACACAGGAGCTGACTTGGAATCCCTGACCCTCGGCTCAAATTTGTTTTGTGGATATTCATTGCTAAATCTGTGCTAGGGCAAATCGATTCCATGCTGAAGACAGGGCTGAATGTGAAAGACTAATTGAAGCCAGGGATTAAGAAGACTAAGGAGGGACGAGGTATTGGATGCCTTGATGATAGCAGGGCAGTCCTTCAACTCCAAGTCCCCTTGTTGAATGTAGTTTGAGCTGGAAGCTCATCTGACGATTAAAAATAGGTGTGTTTTGCCTACTTCCTGGTGTTTACCTATTTGCATCAACTGTGGTTGAGGTGGGAGGAAAGCAAGGGACTGAGTAGGTCCATTTCAAAAACTTTTCTAATGAAAAGGATAGTATGATGCTTTATTAGAGTATCTGGAGAAACTGTCATACCTTCTTTTGAGTATCTGTGAGGGCAGACTTAAATGTATGAATTCTAACTCCAAAACGAGCAGATGGATAAAGTGTGCTGCATAATATATCTTTCAGCTATGTGTTCAGTTATATCTCTGCTTGAGATGAGCATTGACCAGCTGACTGACACAACTGATCATTGTATCAGCAACTGGATTGACAGTAATGGGTGTTTTTCTGCCAGTTTTTTGAAAGTGTTGCTTGTTGTAAACCTGCGTTTGCTTCCCTTTCAGACAAGGAGCAGAAATGGATAAGGTGATGCAAGAGCTAGGGAAATCACTAACGGACCAAGATGTAAATTCATTAGCAGCTCAGCATTTTGAGTCTCAGCAGGTAAACTAAGTTCAGTGAACTAGAATATGTCACACAAATAATTGTCTATAAAAAGAAAACCCAAAACACTCAGATTATCACTGTTATCTTGTTAGGATTTGGAGAACAAATGGACCAATGAATTAAAACAGTCTACTGCTATCCAGAAGCAGGAATATCAGGAATGGGTGATAAAGCTTCATCAGGACCTAAAGAACCCAAACAACAGCTTAATCAGGTATTTAATTCCTCTGTGTTGCTTACTTCCATCTGTTCAAAGGACTTGCTTTTATATAATCTTTATTTCAGATTAGCCATTTAATTAGGGTAGTCAAAGAAAATCAAAGGCAAATAAAACATCATAATTAAATATTTGTGTTTTTATGAGTTTCTTAACAGTGTAATGTTATAAACTTTCTGTACCAGAAAGTGTTCTAATGCACTAAACTACAACTTGTACTGAATGGGGTTTCATCCTATTTTGCCTTTATTTACAATGTCTATCTTCAACACTATTTCACAAGGCTTTCTGTTACCACTTAAGGGTGTTCTACACAATAATTGTAGCTTAATAAATGATAACAGTATAACAATTTTTTTAGTAAGTGTTGTTTGGCTTTTTCGGTTGTTTGGCTTTTCACTTACTATGAGACAGTTGAATTTAGGAAAAAAAAAAACCCAACTGATATCTGAAATATTTCCTGCTAGTTTGAACACTGAAGTATTTGATTTGGCTTTTTTTTAACTTCCCATTTTGTGCGGGGGAAAAAAGAAATGTTTTATCTAGTAACTTCAGAAATAAGATTTTGGGTATTATTAATAGGCTGAGAATAATTAATACTTTTCCCTTTTATTCCTTTCTTATTTTTGTTTCTCAATCTCAGAATGCTTTACAAATGAGCTAGGTAGTGTAAATCTAACAGTGGATTCTACTTTTCCTTGCTGGTATGCACCTGCAGTATTGCAGGCCAGAAGGGTAAAACTGCAGATGAGTAGAGCTCATTCTAGTAGATTTAGTCTCATGATTTCCACAGAGTAGCTAAGAAAACTTTGGATTGCTTTCACAAATTATTGATGGTCTTGAACAAAAATTAGGATACACTTTCCAGTACATTTCTCATTATTTTAGTGATGAAATTAAGGTTCAGCCCAGTCAGCTGAGAGAATCTGTAGAAGGAAATGGAAGAATTTATGAAGAGCAAAGGCTGTTAGAAGAAAGTTTTACTATTCACTTGGGTAAGTAAACTGACACAAAAAGCAAACATAATAACAGATGCTAATAGATAATGTATCTAAGCCATGTATTATTTACTGTATTTAACTGTCAATGTATATAATATATACAGTTTGTAATTGTTTTATATTTGTTCTTTACATGTGCAAGAGAAGTACAGTACAGTATAAACTGTATCAAACAGTATCTAGCTACCTGAAATATACTTAATGGAAAGCATTCCAGAAGCAAGTTTTATCCACTCAAGCAAGGTCACTATTGTAGAAAAGCACACTAACATCAAAACATGTAGCAGTTAAAAATTATATTTTAACTTTTCTTATGTTTGGTAAGAAAATGTGGGTATTAAATTCAACTCCCATGATCAATAAACAGAAAAATAGATACTTAAATTTTTTACTTTTTGTTTGTGGAATAGAGACTTCTTCTGTTTTGCCTGTATTAGTATTTCATTCATAGCCTTCTAATAGGGAACAAGGCTCATTTCGGGTATAGATAAGCCTTGCTTTGTGACAGTATGTGAAAATACTGCATTTTTATTCCTATTTTGTAAATTGCTGATATGTATGTAAAACTGAATATATGGTTAAGAACTTTCTTTGAGTATGACTGATTTAAATTTCCCTTAGATCTTCTTCACAACAGTTAAGGGGTGCACTTTGATCCCTTGCATTTTAATAAAAATCCTGAGTTTTCTCTTTTGCTGTATGTATTAAAATCTTCTATATCCTGTACAGGAGCTCAGTTGAAGACCATGCATAACTTGAGATTACTGAGAGCTGATATGCTGGATTTCTGTAAACATAAGCGCAATCATCGAAGTGGAGTAAAACTTCACAGACTTCAAACTGCAATGTCCCTCTATTCAACTTCTCTCTGTGGCCTGGTTTTATTGGTAGATAACCGTATCAGTTCATATAGCGGCATCAAAAGAGGTGAGTCCTCTCATCATAGAATCACAGAATCTCTGTGTTGGAAGGGACCTTTTAAGGTCATCTAATCCAATGGGGTATATTCGTGTCAGTGAAAACAAATGTCACTTAGAAACTTACTGTCTTCTCTCACAAAAAATATTCCCTGTAAAATTAAAGTTTACTGGAGACCCTAATGTTTTGGACATGGCATTGCAAAAGGGTAACAAATGCAAAAAGAGAAATGGATAAGGATGGGGAACAGAGCTGTGCTCTGATGTGCTGTTATCTCTCTCATTTCTTTCCTAGGTTTTGTGCTTGACTAAGAAGCATGTTAGAGTGAACACTTCAGTGTTGATTTCCCTGTGTTAGACTGACTTATTACAAGGCCTTCTAACTCTCTAATGTCAGATTAGCATACTGAAACCTATTTGCAAAGATGAAAATTAAATGTGCTAAGATTTTAAATTGATAAGTAAATATATAAAAATACCATGTCCTTTAGATATCTGCAGCACTATGAATTCCATTTAAAATGAACAGTAGGAATATTGCTTGCCTAACCCTGGAAAGCTTGATTAGTAGCCATTTTAAGTGCATGTCTTTTGAGTAACTGGACACTATGATGAAGATGTTTTGTATCAAGGTTAACCAATGAAACGTGTTCGTTCCTCTTCCAATTTTGGTCACCGAGGCTTTCTCTGAACCATGTTATTGACTTGCCCACCTCCCTCTTGAAATTTAATACCAAATTATATACATTTTAAATGTCTTTTTGTCTGGAGCCACTATTACTTGTCATTATTCTAGCATGCTGTAAAAAAAAAAAAAATAGACTTTGATGGTTGATAAAACAGTGTGGAATCAGACTTGTAGCAAGAAGGAAAAGGAAGTGTACCAGTAAAAGTTGCATTTGCGCTATTGTTTCCAAGTTGCTTAATTCTGACAGTATTACTTCATACTTGTACTCATTTTCAGTTACTTTTTTTTACTGCTTAAATATTTAAATTAATAACAAATAGAGAAGATTTGTTTTCATGCTAAATCTTAAGTGATAAGAGGAGATGGATATTTAAGGAGTACTGTTAAACACAAAATTGCATCTTCTAGCCACCAGTAAGATCTTGCAGCTACCATAGAAGGGAAAATAAGGGACTGTATTACAGTCTTTAAAATACTAGCCTCAATAAATTTTGATTTCTTTGAGTTCCGAAGGGACTTTAGCAAACTTAACTGCTATCTGCACCACCATTCTTTTTAAAAACCTTGCAGAAATGAATGTGGCTCATGTCTTAGCTCCTCTGACCTAGTTGGATGCATTACTTTAAAGCACGGGTGAACATCTGGTTGTACTGAGACCCCAAACCACTACAGGCGGCAACTGAGGTTTGGGCACATTTCTTTAAATCCGCTCTGTGGTGACAGTGGTAACTTCTGGCAGAAGAGCAGTAATAAACACCTTTGAGAGGACACTTTGCTCTTAAACTATTAAAGCTGTTTGTTGCAAGAGCACTAGCCAGAACCAATTCTTCTTCCTAAAAGGATCTTTAAGAAATAAATATGCTAGTGGGTTCAAAGGTTCATAAAATTGCTATATAGAAGACCTTTACATGATACATTGATGCTGCTGTTTAGAGGTCGTGGCTTGTGCAGTGTAAGTTTCTTGGTTACAAAAGTGCGGAAACAATTTTCTGCTTCTGTTTTAAAGCTGGGGAAAAATACAAACCTAAGAGCTTTTATTTTGTGATGGACTAGAAGCTCCCTCAAACCTCTGTTGGATTTTCAAAGGTAGTTGGAGTAGATCAGCTTCTTGTGAGCATGCTGTTTATCCAAGCATTTTGCATTGTTTTGAGAACACCAGTCACTCAGCAAGCACTAAGCAGTGGTACAGAGTCCTGCAACTTACTTGGTTGACCTTAGTTGCTTAGCTGTATCTGGAGGAAGCTTAAGAATGTGCTTCATTTAGTGTATTTTGTTACTTCTGTTGTGTCTGGCAAACGTTTTGATGTTGCATCTTTGGTAAATCTGTTACCCAAAAATGGTTCAATTTATCTCAAAATCAGGATGTGAGGTATTTGCAGGACTAAAAACCATGACTGCGATGTTTTTCTGTATTTCTTAAAATGTGTAAACAGCAACTAGCAAAATATACCTTTGAAATCGGATTTGGACACATCTCTAGAAAACAGCCTCGAACAGAAAGTTGTACTTGTGTGTGAACTTTCAACATGCTAATTTCTTTGACTGTTTTTTCTAAGCTAGGTGAATAGTTTCTTTATATACTTTATATCTATGCACCGCCTAGCTCCAGTGTCTTATATTAGGAATTTGTAGGGCTACAGTGACTGAGGTTTTGAGTAGGTGTAGCACACTTAGACAAATGATAAACTAAAATTAAAGTTAATTTTAATTTAAATACAAGAGATTTTTCATTTGCTTTTTTCAAAGAGAGTGTCTTGTGACCTTCTTTTATCTTGATAGACACAGAAGACGCAATCTTTTGGAATATGACCTTCTTCCTCCTTTGGCTTTGGACACCAGAATTTAATAAAACCTTTTGAAAATAGATTTTATGATGGAGAATTCATGTAAAAAGATAAAATAGATTAAGACCTTTCTCTCTACCCTGACTATTCCTGTTGCAGCCTGTTCACAGGAATATACGATGCTCCGAGGATAGTCAATCAGAGTACATTAAGAACTTTAAGGAGCATTAGAGCAGGTACCTCAAAACGGGAAGCAAGTAGCAATTGCTTAGTATAGTCCAGCTCCTTGCTAACAGCTTGTTTTGGCTCCCATTGACTTACTTGGAGAGATGTCTGGACATTAAAATAAGAAGCTTAGAACACCAGTCACAGAGGCAGTATGTTATGATCCTAATTATCAGTGTAATATTTCCAAGTCTGACATAATACTTGCTTATCAGGAAAAGGAACTTGCTGGTCTTTTTCAGCTGATGACACTTTTCTTTAGCTTTCAGATCTGTGTTTTGAGAACTAAAGGGGAAGAACTGTAATTCCAGCTTTCCAAATATACTGTTTATGAATTTGTTTTGAAAAGTGAGAGCTATTAATCAAATGAGAATGCTGTTGTTGCTGTTGGAAGTATCTATTATGTATGTTTGAAGTATCACAGATAAAGGACTTAGTAATAAGACATTATTTTCAAAGAGCAATTGCATTTAATGCACATGTATTATTGCTGTTATTTTGGGGTGGTTTTTTTTGTCTGGGTGGTTTTGTTTGAAGAGCAACAACACTCAAGGGTTTGGTGGGGTTTTTTCCCCCCCAAGCAATTAATTTCTTTCAAAAAATGTTTTGTCTCTGCCAGAAATTTTTTAGAATTAGGAGTACAGCAGGGCTTTGTCTGTTTTGGGTTGGTTTTGTTTTGTTTTGGGGGGGTTGCCTTTGTAACTGTCCTTGCTTGAGCAGTAGAGCAGAATTATGTAAGATTACTAAGCACAGCCTTATGACGTGGATTTTAATCTTATTTTTTCCCTAGATTTTGCAACTGTTTGCCAAGAATGCACAGATTTCCATTTTCCTGGAATTCAAGAACAGCTTGAAATTGTCCAGAAGGTTGTACTTAAGGCCAGAGCACAGCGTAGCAGTAAGTCGAAAAGACATCATGGTCAGTGACAACCAAAATTACTTTTCCTTGAAATAGAATAGTGGTCAGCTGAATGTTTATGGTTATGGGCAAGTTGATTTCACTCTTCTTGAATTACCTCATCTATAAAATTGAATGTTTGAGTTTATTGATAAACTCTGAGAAGTCTGCATGAAATTCTCTCTTCACAGACAGCATGTTCACATGATGTCTTTGCTGCCATAACAGACATACCTTACCCCCCCCAAAAAAAGTATAAGTCCTTAGGTTCTGATCACACTTCAACAGCATGGGAAGTGCATAGGGCCATTGTGCTTTCCTCTGCAGTTTAAACTGCCTGTAGCAACACAGGCTTTATCTGACTTTACTATTTTTATTTCTATTTAAATGTAAAACTTTAAAAATTGCAGAAGAGGAGTTACAGCTTTTTCGATTCCTTAAAAGTGAACGCTGAAAATTTAATAACAAATTGCCTAAATCTGTATACTCTTTAGTGCTGACTAAATCCTTGTGAATGGTTTACTTTGCAGTTATATTTACAAATGGCTGTGAAATTTTCTGACCACATGGTGTTAAGGCAGCACTTGTACATTGTGAAACTTTGTTTTTCTCGCAGAGAACTACTTCTGTGATTTAAATATATCAGTAACACAACTAGATTTGTAAGTGTACATAGAGAAACAAGTTTTCTTAGGAACCTGCATATTGCTGCAGTCTTGAGGAATATACAGAGGCTGTTTTTATACTGCTCATTTATGTAAATATCTCTAAAATTTTTCATGTAATACTAGGAACAATTTTTTTTTTAACAGTTACATTATTTAAAAAGCAATACCAAGGTACTATGTAGTTGTGGGGGCAATTTGTAAAGTTTAGTATTACGTCTGAGAATACTGTGTTTTCTTTTGTCCAAATGAAGAGATATCATAGGATGATTAAGTAAGAAGGCTAATGATTTGAGATAGAGTTCAGTTCAGTGTCTATTGAAAAGACAGTGAAAACACTTCTGTCCATCCCCCTGCTTTTTGGGGCCTTTATGGTAACTTTATGGTAAAAATTCAAGTCAGATATCATCTCAGTACATCAAACTTTCATGCAAAAGCATAATTAGTAGATGATATGTTTAATATTTGTGCTATGTATTTATACACAGAAAACAGAAGTAGTGGAAATGAAGATAAATTAAAGAATATTGAACGAAACCAGTCAAATATTTTGCCGGGTGAGCTCTGTTGCATTTTCCCCCTCTTCTTAAAGCAAATTGTGTTTTATAGATGCACATTTTTAGCTCTAAAGTCAGAACATAAATTATAAACTAAACCTGAGTTGACCTCAATCAGAAGAGAAGGATGTTCTTGTGGCTAAGGCAGGGAACTGGGGGTCAGGACATCTGGTTTCTATTCCCAGCTTTGCTACTGCATCATGTGATTTGGGGCAAATCACTTAACTTCTCTATGCCTAAAATTTCTTTTCAGAATTTGAGGGTGAAAAAAAGATCTCTGAGCATCTTGGGAAAAGGTGAAACTCAAATACTAGCAACTAATTTTGTTTTTGAAAATAATTGTATATATGTCACTGTTGTGATACAACAAAGCATTTTAGAATGTATTTTTTTAACTCTGAGAATGTACAGATCCATTCATCTCAAAGAGGAAATACCTTCTGTATATATTGTGATTTTTAGTAAGGAAAGCTGCTGTGGAATTCGGAGATGAATACACAGTTCAAGGAGGGAGGAGTTAAATACATACAACACATGGTTGAATAACAGGGATTCTTAAAATTGCTTTCATGATTGTCTTAGGTCTTGTTAGTATAAGTGGAGTATAAATCAACCTGGGTCCTTAGCAGGTGAATCTTGCTGCAGTGGCTTTTGTATTATTACTCTTAGATGGTCATTGCTGGGATGACTACCTCCTTAGCAGACATCAGAAAGGAGAACATACCTGTTCTTCAGCTGTCCCACTACAAAGGGTAGTATCTTAAATAAAATGACCAGTGAGAACAGGTTTGCAGAAAGATGTTTATCTGTTGACCGAAACAGTAGGGGTATTGCATACCTGCTTTTCTGTTGACCTTAGTATAGACTTTTGATCTCCAGTGGAAAGGTAAGATAGAGACACCTACATTTCACTGACCCTTATTCTTTCTCTACCATTGATAAAAGAATACCAAGTCTAAAAATACCCCCAACAAGATGTCTTGGTAACTTTTTGTAAACAACCCTGTAACTAATGTTCCCATTGCTATGAATTATTTTAAATCCTAATAATCATTGATACCTGTGTATTAAAGTACATATCTCAGTTGTAATGTAACCCGCTATCTTTTTCCACAGACTTTTTGCATCCTTTATTTTAACCCATCCATTTTGGGTGTTTCCGCCTCCCACATCTGTCTGCAGTTCAGTGCTTACATTATATATTTTGAGTATTACACCTCCTCTGTGTTTTTCTGTTTCGTGCTATATATAGATCATATCCGCTTGTACTGGCACTGTTACGTCTTATTACACCAGGTGTCCGTGATGCCACTGAAACACATCAAACCAGGGAAGTGAGTGTAGGATGAATGTAAAACAATGATAGTCCAAGAGATTTTAGATCAGTTGGTTTCTAGCTTTTTTTTTAATCTCTTTTATGTATGTGTTCTGATCTCTGTTGTATATTTGTATTTGCCTTTTGTCTTAACTGACCCTATCCTCATGTTATGTAACAATTGTATTTCAATACGGATCGCTACAGTGATATTGTGCCTTCTTGGTTTATATTCTTCTGTAGGAGAATTCTACATCACACGCCATTCAAATCTTTCTGAAATTCATGTTGCTTTTCACCTCTGTGTGGATGATAATGTAAGGTCTGGTAACATTACTGCTCGGGATCCTGCAATCATGGGACTCAGAAACATTCTCAAAGTTTGCTGCACACACGACATTACTACCATTAGTATTCCTCTCCTGTTGGTGCACGATATGTCAGAAGTAAGTAAATGTAAAGATTTGGTTTATTTTCTAGGATACAACAAAAAGTGATTTTTGCAGAGGGTATGTTTCATGCTGGTTTAAGCCAAATGGGACAGTTCATCCCAGTCACTGGCTCCTGCCACATCCTTGTGCTGGTCACTCATATGGTGACCCAAATGAAGAAACTGAACCGGTTCAAAGCATTTCAGCTAGCTGAATCACTTTGGGTGATTTTATTCCCCACCCCCCCCCCATTTGGAAACTGCACTTCTGTGATCCAGCTCATTGCACAGTTGCACAAGTATTGATGAAAGATGGGACTACGTGCCTGGAAGTCTTCTGGCAACAGCTCTTGCTGAGAAACTATATCTTCAGAGTTGCTGATGCAATAGTGATACCAGATCCCCAGTTTTAATTGTTGCTAGTTAGAAAACCTTAAAACTAAGATTATTTTTTTTTATGAGCAGCAGAACTAGCAAAGCTTGGCTTAGAGTTCTATATCCCTAAACACCACTCTTTATCACCTCAGCCCTACACAGCAGCAACCAAATTTCACCTTTGCTCTGAACTGTCTCCTTCTTCACTGCTTAATCACTTGTATCCTTAATTTCTGTCCCTGTTTCCTCTCTAAGTCACCCAAATACCAGCTGGGCAAGAAGCAGCATATTGCTGAGGCTCTTTGCTGTTACAAATGTGCTTACTTATTGTGCTGAGCTTTTGCATTCTCTTCTTCAGTGGGACACTAATGTAGAGCTTGTCTCTTACTCAACTGTAACTTTTCACACTGCATAGTAATTTAATGCCATTGACCTCTGTCCTCTGTTGCATCTGGCTCACAAGATACTAGCAGAGAAGAAAAGGAGGTGGCAAGGCAAGGAGGGAAGCAGTGGACAGGCAGTTACAGCTTCATGCCTCTCCTCCTTAGGAGGTAAAAAGTCTATAAATTTTAAGAAATGAGGAAAATAAGATAATGCTGCCATTACTGATACCCTTGCATGGGTAATTATAGTCTGTTGTTTTTTTCTAAATAACCCTTTGATTTTTCACTTGGAAAGGCAGCATTGAAACTTACTTCTTTGAAAGTGCCTGACTTATAGCAAGATAAAGGCTAACCAGTGGATTACCTTTAGCAGTGACTTTTTTTATAACAGAAATGGATTGGAACACAGAGTAGAAGTGTCCCCCTTTTGCAAGATCAGGGTCTATTATTGTGAAAGTGCAAGCAATGGAAAAATTTAAAATGTCCAATAATGAAGCTTCTAAAGGATATCCTTCCATACATAAAAGTAGACTTTTAGGAACAGATGATATTACTTCTGAAATTTTTCATCTCCCTGGTATCAAGACCTTTTTTGGGGCACAGATGCAAGTAATCAACTTGCAGGACAGCAGCCTGGGTTATTCATGGGATACAATTACTGTGTTTCACAAATTGACCTTTTTTTCTGAATCAAGTTGCCATCTGACTATATTCTTTTTATTTCTTCTTTAAACCTTTTTAGATTTAGCTTTCATTTGCACATCTGTATTTCAAAGTAGAAATAAAGCACAAGACCAAGTGTTCAACATGCTTTGAGAGTGTCTTGTTGCTTGGGTGGGTGAAACTGAAGAATTATCTTCTTGTCTAGTGCTGGGTTCTTAAAAAGGTTCTGGTAAAACAGTTTACCTTTTGTATTAAGTTTTAAGTCTTTGCAGCGTAAGCAGAGAGTGACCTGTATGATAAGTGTATGTTTAGCCAAAACTGCATTGTATGAATTGAGTTAGCAACATTGCTTATTACAGTGCTTTGCAGCTGGCTGACCTCATTTGGAACACATGAATATGTAACTTGTTGTTGACGGAAAAGTGAATAATAACAGATTTCTGAGAGTTAACCTGAACTTGGTGCCTTCAGCAGCCCCAGTTTTGAATCTGTGTTTACCACCTACATAAAAACATTTTTGTAAAGTGGTTAACCAGGAGCACAGCTGCAGAGATGTTTGCATGCTTTTTCATCATGAGTTTTCTCTGTGCTTTTCCTAAAGGTTTTCTTCTTTTATGGATGGAAGAGTGGTGTTTATAACCTCACAGAAGTAATGTGTGTATCAATCTCAATGAAGATATTACATTTCATTATTATTAGACTTTCATGTAAAGCTAATTTTTTTTTCGTATTAAAAAAATCGGGAATTCTGTTTTCCTTAGTTTTTCTTCTGACAAGAACAAGAAAACAGATTTCTCTGTTCTGATCATGAAAAAAGGAAAGAAATTGTGTCTGATTCTTGGGAAAGGCAAAAGCAGACAAGTTCAAAATCAGGGCAACTGAAGCATTACTGTCTGATCACTGTTCTGGATGTAATATAAACTGATACATAAACTGGGGAATGAAATGGCTGTAATAGCATGGTGTTGCTAAAAATGCTAGAGCTTGCACACTTCCTTGGTAGCTTCAACATAGTAGCCATTGCTGTTGTCCACACAGCAACACTGAGAAAAATGTGATTCTTCAGGGATCTCAGGCACCTGACTCTGTTACCAGAAGTTAGGACAAAAATGTTTTGAAAAAAAGTAGAAATGGAGGGAGTGTAAGCTGTGTAACAAATGTTTATGAACATGGTTTATGTATATAGAGCGGTTATTGATGGCTGTATTAACCTCAGATATCTCTCATCTGAGTTTCCTGCCTTTAGATGTATAGCTGCTCATACAGTGTTCAGAATTTGCATAGATGTACTTAAGAGTAAACATCCTACTAATTTTTAACTTACTAAAATTAACCATTGAAATTTGGTTTGGAGTCTTTTTCCCACAAGACATATATGGACTTCAGTGTTTTCACCACTGGGTTATGACATTGTTCTGCAAAGGCATAAACCCTTAACTTTTATAAAAACAGCAGCCCCATGTAGTTAGTCTCTCACGAATTTGTTTGAATAAAAAAGTTTGCAGCATATCTTTATAATCAATGAAGTTGGCTGCTTTTTTAATAAGTAGAATAAATCTTAATTTGACAACAAATCATTGCATCCTAAACAGGAGTGAGGTGGTGTCTCTGCTAGTGAACAAAATCACAAGTTCCAGGTATTTTTGTACTTTCTTGAATGCTATTCGCCAAACCTCACTCTAGGAGATAGAGTGTTTGCTGCTTTTTTTTTCCCTATCCCCTGCACTGTATCTTGAACTGGTACTTAATCAATCCTTCATCATTTCCACAACTGTTACTTAGTTTGCATATAGAAAAAAATCTTGATATCATGGCAAAATTGTGAGAACTTAACTTTTTAAAGGTGGATTAGAATTGAATTGCTACTGCGTCATTTTCAGTTCTGTGGCTTGCACAGAGTGACGTTCTGGATTCAACCTGTTATTTCCCTGAGTGCCCACAAGATTTAACATCTATGTTCCTCTGAAATAGTCCAAGGAATATTGTCATATCCTGCTGTTTCGATAAGTCCTTTTAAGGCTTAGTTCCCCTTATCGATTACACAAAGTACTCCTGACTTGCCTTCAGAGCAACAGAACCCTTCTTTTTAGACAGTTGGTTTTTACCTAAGCCAAAACAGTGATCAAAACCAACAATAAACACTTATGTTACTTTTGACAGAAAGCACACAGAGGCAGATGAATTATACCAAAGACCAAGTGCTTCTTCCAGAAAGCTTAGGGGGAAAACAAAGTTGCCCAGCTTTGTTCTGCCTGAGTAATGTGTTGTATACCCTGAAAGCAGCATCTATTGATGCAGTGATTTACATCATGAAAGAAAGTTTTCAGAAGAGATATTTCTACCTTATGCTGTTTTTAACATACTATGTATTTTGGAGATGGCAGGAGATACTCCCATCTAAGTAGGAACTTCGGCTTTCAGTAGTTGTTTAATGCCGCCATGTTCAGTATACTGGCATTCTTTTTTTTTAAGCTCTTTGAAAATGGCAGATTGCAGAGTGTTTGACATTGCAAAATAAAAGCTGGCTTTACTGAATAGGAAATTCTGTAAAGCTTAAATTTGAAAATGTACAGAGAATGACAAATTTGTTTCCATGTATTTATTTCTATATTCAGGCTAGAAAGTGCTCATTTTGATGTTGAAGAGTACATCAGAACAAATAGGTACTATTTTCATTTTGAGAAGTTTTTACAGTGACATTCTGTCTCTGACTAGGCATGTTCATTGTGATATAATTCACTTTGCAGCATGCAGCCAAAGAATGTTTAATGTACTAAAGCATTTAAACAGGTACTTAAATTATGTAGCCATATCTTAAGATATCTTAATCCAGTGTGGTTTTCATATCCCATCTTGGTATTTAAGTAAGAATTTGCTGTCTGTTTATGTATGAAACTCTCCCATCAGATGAAGGTGGATTTTGTTTGTTTTAATTCTTAACATAAATATATCTGTAGGGGAGAAGGGCTTCTTCCAGTTCCAGTATTAGAGAGAAGGTGTTTACTGACAGTGGTGGGTATGCCAATAAACCATAACCACATTCATGAAGAGTAGCTAGGAATCATCAGTTACTGCTGTTAAGATGTGGTCAGGAGTGTATCTTTGGCTAGCTGAAGCACGAATCTGACAGTTATCTTTTGCATATTATAGATTTTTCTGAAGCTCCATGGGGGAATTAAATAGACCCATTTCCAATTACACTAATAGGATTGTTTGCAATATTTTTATTCAAGATCTCAGTTTAAAAAATGTATAGATTGTTCTGACACCGGGCTTGCCTACCAATAAGCAGTGGCAGTACTTTTGTGGTCACCTATATACCACCTGCCTAGAATACTCTGGAAAACTGAATCCATCTTCATGGCCTGTAATGCTGCTTGAATGGGAAAATGTTTCTCTATGGCAAAAGTGTATGATTTTTAATAACTTCCCTGCTGCTCTTGTTAGTTAGATTGGTTGGGCATTGAGGCTTTTCATTTACTAATTTTTAGGAAATGACCATTCCATGGTGCTTGAAGAGGTCAGAGCTTGTGTTCAAGTGCATCAAAGGTATGTTAGTGGATGCTTCAGCTGGGGTTTTTTTGTGTTGCATTTGGTGACATCCAGCCTTAACTCAGGCTGTGTATTTAAAAAAAAAGGTGTTTTTCAATAATTTATTGGTTTTTAAAACATACGTGTATATATTTTCTCTTTAAAATTATTAACTGGCATACCAGGAAATAGTCTCAGACACTTAGAATGGAGACCAAAAATGTTTCGAAAGCATCTTTAAAATTTAAACATGGACAGTAGAAGAAAAAGTGCTTACTGTTGCTTTGAGCAATCTCTGAAAGAGGACAAGAGCTGGTGGTTCTCTACAGTATAATTTCCAGTGTACTTTGTACTTTGCCTCAAACAATGGCTCCCCACATTATTCCACGACTAGTTTATACTCTAACTCATCTCTTTGCTGGAGAGTCCTCGTGACTCAGCTTGGTTTTCTGTCTTTCCAAGTGGTGTTATTACTTACTGCATTCTTGTGTGCTGCACTTAAATACTTGAACCAGTCATTTAGAGTATTTAAAATGTTAGTAGTGTTAATGTTCTTTCTACCACCTACTTGCAGAACTTCTTCCTATTGTGACCTTTAGTACTTCACAATGGCATATCATTCACATGACAGACACTTTCATTAAACAAGTATTTTTCTTAGTATCTTTATTTGCCACTAGTGTGTTCCTGTGGACCTTGTAGTTCATTTATAAGGAAATGCTAGCATAAAAATGCCATGTCATAACTTGAGCAATAAAGGAGTGCTGAACCTTCACTATATAAGTAAGTCCAGGTAGTTTCTGTTGCTGCCAGATTGTCAGTGCTTTTGGCAACGGGCTTGTACTCATTCACGTGGATGTGGTCACAGCAGAGCTAAAGGAAAGAGCTATTTCTCAATGAAAGCAACCCATTGAAAGAACTCATAACACATATTTGGAGAAACCTCTCACTTCTGCTAGCTAGCACTGTGCTGTACAGCAGGACTGGTTATTCTCCTTTTCAAGGGTATATTGATTTTCTCCATAAGACAGATTTTTCCAGTTAAAGCAGATTTCAGTCAGGAGATTGGCCAAGTCTGATTTAAATGCAAATGATGACATCCTTAGTAAAGGCAGTTAAAATCCTAATTGTATATGAAAACTCCCTCACTGCTTGATAATGGTGTAATTGATGGGGAAGATTGCATAGGTAATGCATGTAGTGTGAATGCTGTTTTTTAGGTTTCATGATGGAAATGGCCTCATGGGATGGAGGAATTTCTCGGACTGTACAATTCTTGGTACCCCAGGTAGGTTAAACCAAGTTTGTACCAACCTAGGAGACTGTTGGAACAAGAAGTTAAATGTCAACAGACCTAGTTTTGATTTCTTTGCTATGCCCTGCTCTTTTTCCATGATCTTAAATTAATCACTGTGGTTTTGGTCCCTTGCCTATGAAACAGGAATAAGAGGGGTTTGTATTTTTGGATATCCTGTAGTATTTTCTGAGGATGCTAAAATTTCAAACTGGGAAGTTCACCATTACAAATGGTGAATACTTCACCTTTGAAGGATACTTGTTTGCTATTATTTACTCTAAAGAGTTGGACATAACCTTGCATTATGTAAGTTTAGGCATCTGTTAGTCATATTGTCTAACAACTTGGAAAGTTACAATGCACAGAGTTCAGTCATGCTTCCACAAAGTCATTAATGACTCTAGGTATTTGAAGCTAATTGTAATTAAAATTCTGAAATTATTTAATCTGGAATTCTAGATGATCTTCAGAAATGGGAAGTTTTCCAAAGATGGCCATCACTAAGTTTTATTTGTTCTAAAAAGCAGTACTGGAAGTAATATATAATATAGTCAGTGTAATATAATATAATTAGTGTATTTTCAGTCAGGAGGAAGCCAAGAATAAACTAAGTAGTGAAGTTGAATCTAATCCTGGAACTGAGAGAGCAGGAGACCTGTAGATAACAAACAGCACTGTCCTGCTTATGCTAGGCAAAAATAATCAATTACTGGAATAAGAAATCCACTGGAAACAGATATGTCACATAAATATACAAACTAATTTTTTGGTCAGTCGTCTTCTTTTGATTGAATTAAAGAGAATTATATAGTTTGAAAATAGTATTTGTGGTCTTTTGAAAAACAGCAATTCTCTTAAATGTCAAGAAACAAAGTTGAGAGAGGCTTAATTCTTCTGATCTACAGCAAAAAGCCAAAGCTTACTGGTCGGGGTTTTTTGTTTGGTGGTTTTGTTGGTTTGTTTTTTTTTTTCCCCCCCTAGACAATTTCTGAGGAAATGTTTTACCAACTGAGTAATATGCTTCCACAAATCTTCAGAGTATCCTCTACATTGACTCTGACCTCTAAGCACTGAATTTTATGCAGCAGTAAGATGCATCCTGTTGGGAAAGGACGAGATTAGAGATTCTGGACTGGAATGTCTCTTTTCTGAGGGATAATGACCCTGAATTGGTATTTGTTCTGTTTTCAAGAATCCTGTCATTGTAATAAAAGATAAATGATCTCTGTACTTGGGTGTTAGCAGTTATTTTTTGCCTCTTGCTTTCTGTTTCTGCACAGTATTAATGTTGAATTCCTCACCTTTATCTGAAAGATGTTCAGTGTAACTTTATGTGATTACAGAAATATAAATAATTCTTATGTATAAGTAGTAGGAGTAAGAGCTTATGGTAGGAATAGGATCTTCTAGGTGGGCTTCCGGTTGTTGGGTTTTAAAAATATTTTCTGAATTTCCTCAGTGACATTTAAAAAAATATGAACAATGTCAGGTGTCACCTTAGAATAACTTTGACGTAATTTGTCACAGTTGTTTTTTCAGGGTCACAGTGACCGCGAAATAGAACATATTACTGGATCATTTTACCATTTTACTGTTAGAAAATGAAAGCCATGAAGCAAACATTAAACCTGCTGCACTTTGTAAATCAAGGAAATGTTAAAAAACCTTTTAATTGTTTTTTTTCCTTTTTTTTTTTATTTTTTAGTATGTTAAAGTTTTGCTTTATTTCAAGATTTCACAGTGACAAGTCTGTCAAATGAACAACTTAATAGGAGCACTATTGTGTTGCACTCCTGTGTGTTGTACAGGTATATTTTGCTGCTTATTAATTATTGATGTTTTATGACTAAACAACCTAATCAGAAATGCTGGGGAGAACTCAAGATACAACTATGAAATTTCTTGGGACAAACTTGAATACAGTCCAAAAAAAAAAGCCAACACCCCCCTGCCTCCCTCTGATGGACACTCAAGCTTTTTGAACTCAGCTGCAGACCCAAGCAGGTGGAAGGAGGAGTGAACTCTTCCAGTGCAGAGCATGGCCACAGGGAAAAGGCCTGTCTGAAACTGGGATTCTCGGGGTTGCCAGAAGAGTCGGGCTCACAGCGAAGCAGCTTATTGTGAAGGTCGCAGGCAGCCTTCCGAAGTCCACAGTTCTGTTCTGTAGGAAGCACGGGGATCCAAGCAGAGCTGGCTTTGAATCTGAAATCTCTTGCTATGTGTTGCGAGAATGCTGCACTTGAAAACTGGAGATCCTGGAAGACAATTAAAAATCAAATTACTTTCTGTTTTCAGTGTGATTTTTTTTTTTTTTAAATATGTATTATTATCATTTAGTTTGATAAATGTGAAGATTGTAAAGCTCTGTTCTGGGGAAACTGCATAATGTAAAATTCTCACAGAGACTCAAAGGAATATTAATCAGTTCACGACGTTTATAAAGTTGCTATGTAATTAATGAACTCTTAGCGTAGTATTTTTATGGAGTCCTGCATGCTGTACAGAAGCCATGTAAGTGACCTAGCAAACATCTATAGCTGAACTGTCAAATGCTTTCTTTTCCTCTGCCAGCAACTTCTAAAGAAGAATCATGCAAGTAATGTGATGAACACCTAATTTGGTGTTCTAGAAAAGAAGGATGTAAATTCATCTAGAAGGAGCTGGATTAATCCTGTTCGAGCTCATTTTACATTGCTGGCCTTAAGCTGAAATCAAACTCTGGTCCCAGAAAAGCAAGTGCTCTAACCACTATTCTGTTTATGAAAGGTGCGGTAGCAGAAGTATTCTTTTTCAGAAGTCGTAAGACTTTTCTGTGTTGTAAAAGAGGTCTGTGTTACATACTTGGTACTTCTATTTTTTTTTTTCTTCTGTGAGGACATCTACCAACAAGTAGGCTATGGAACATGAAAAATTCTTGAGCAAATCATCTCTCTTATACTTCTAGACTCTGTTAAGAAAAATTATGCCTGAATTCACCTGTTATTTTGCCAAAACATGAAGACACCATTCAATTTAGTACCACTTACGTAAAACTGACAGTAATTTCTAAGAAAATAATTAAGCTTTTTGCCTTTCATTTTTTGAATCTGTGTGGTTTCAGTCCTCAGCAGATTACGTATGAACTTTTTGGCATAATAACAAATTGGTCTTTGATACTAAAATGAACAAACAAGTTCTATTGGTGAGGTTTCAGAAAATCAAAGTGGTAGGAATGGTACGGGAAAACTATGAGTTCAGCTTAAAATTGTGCTGAAGCCTGGCCCTTGTGAATGCTGAATTGGCCTGCCAGACTGAAGGGCTCTCGATACAACATCTATTATTCCCCTTTTTCATATCTGTTATGAAGGAAGTAGTGCTAGCAGCAGATTTTTAGCTGTCTGTGTAGGAAAACAATATAGAGATGGGATGACCTAAACTGTACTTTCTGTTTGATCTGTACCTGGCAACCATACAGAACAGTAGCATACAGACTGCAATTTATGGAGTAAAGCCATGTGAGAAATCCTGTTTGGGTCATGAGAAGTTATTTGAGATTAAGAGGAAAATGACTCAATGGGCATGAGGTTTTCTATTTGTATATGCAGTGCAGCATTCCTTGGAAGGATGACAGTATTTAATGCCATGAAAATGTTGCATAAAACTGTACATGTGGCTTGTATTGAGTAAATTGTTCTTGCCACTAAGAGAAATGAAGAGCGAATGCCATTGTTTAGCCCTTTCAACCTGCTCATGGTGACTAGTACAACCTGCAGGTGCCTGTTACAGAATCTGAACTAAGGTTATGACAAGAAAAAAAAGTGTAGAGAGTCTCAATTTGTCAAGGACATGGCTAACTGACCTTCAGCCTGTTGCCTTCAGCTATATGATCTGCATCCCTTTGCTTACATGGTGACTGATGGCAAACAGGAGGAGAAGAATGCAGATAGTTGAGAAACAGATTTAGAGACCTCATCCTGACCAGACTGCTTTTACCCTGTTGCAATTCCAGAAATTTCACTGTTGCTAGATGACACTGCCCAGGGAGGTAAGAATTGTGTCGGAGGTCTTTCCATCTGCAATAGTTGACTCTGGATAGCAGAGTCTTAAGTTTAATGAAGCACAGCTGAAAGATGTTATTTTATAACTTTTCCCATTGCATGGGAGATGAGGGAAGCCATAGAAGGTGATTACGGAGAGGGAATATAATCGAAAGGAGACTTAAGATTGCAAATTCTAACCCAGTTCTGTTATTTCTGTGAGCTTAAAAGTCAATCAGTTTGTTTGGTCTGTACCTCATTTTCCCCTCATTAGAAGAAAGTTCAATTTATGCTTCTGTAGTATTTTGAGCATTAGTCTTGCATGCCACATTTACTCTTTTTTCTTGCCTGTACTATCTCTTATGCCTCCTTGAGGTATCAGGACAGACCATCAGGGCTGCATAAAAATAAACCTGTTTGTTACTTCATACTGTATACTGGATGTGGTAGAAGTCAGTAGCAACCACAGAATTGTGGTCCCATGGGACCACAGAATTAGAAGAACGTACTATTATGTGTAAGTACAAACTTATTTCTCGTTGTGTAAGTTCAAGGGCTTGACTTTATGCTATAATAGCGTTTAAACGCTAATTTGTAATCTTACCCCAACATTTAGAAGCAAGTGGAACAAAGCAAACACAGATCCCAAGGAAGAGCACTTGGAGACCAGCTACAACAGTCATCAGAAGCAAGACGGGGATGACCTGAGTATCCTGGTGAAACTTGTTATGCTTGAGAGAAAGAAGGGACTACGTCCAGCAACAGGGTGGTATTCTATACGTGAAGGAGCCCTTAGAAGAGCATATTCTGTCCTGATGATGGCCTGAGCTATTTGTTATCAAAATTACTTTGGAGAGATGGACTAGACCCAGAAGGCAAAAGAAGTCTAGCAGTTACAGGTAGATGGGATCAGTTCACCTGTCATAAGCTGTGCTCCCTTGTGCTTGCTGGCAAAACAGGCACTGGGGCGGCTCTGACAGGCCGAAGCGGGTAATAGCCCTCTGCCAGCGAAGTCTGTAGCTTGGTAGCAAATATGGCTTTAAGTCCCCTCAGATAGAAAAGCAAATTGAACTGTGACTCAATGAAGTGCTCAAATGGGTAGGGTTTTATACTAAGTGGGGACCTTCATATGACAGCAGTGTTTGCCAGGATGGACATCACAGACTTGGCACATCTACCAGACTGGGTTATCAAGAGCACGTATAGTGAAGACAACCTAACTGGTAATCTGAATGAGCTTGGACACAGCCAGTTGCTGATGAGATTGTTATTGTTGAAAAGGAGATCAATTTATGAATTCTCAGAAGCAGAGCATTTCAATTCCTGGAAACATTTTCATTCCCATGCTGCAGTACCAAGCACTTCTATAGGTCGGTACAGGCTAAATGTGGGTGACAGGCTCACAGCATCCGAAGTAGGCATATAAATTGCATCTTAATTCCCATTTGAGATGTGCTAACTTCTTTCTTTACATGATCCAGGCTGTCCTGGTGATTTTAGGCTGTAGAGGAAGCAATCAGAAGCCTGCAAAATTTTTAAGATTACTTCTCGGAGATTAGGCCAGATGATGGGGAAAAAAAAGGTGGTTCATGGTTCTTTATTTCCATTCCCCTTTCTGTCAGAATAACCTGCAAAGGGAGAAAAACAGAATTCACCCTTTGTAATAAACCCTCTAAAAGAGAAAAGCCACTGAAATTAGTCGATGTAAGATGTGAAGTCGTGCAAGCTCTGCCTTGTTGTGTAAACTGCCCCAGGATATCTTGTACGGACAAAGTGTCATGTCCAAATTCCATTGCTTTGTAGGACCTACCAACAGTATCATTACAGAGGATGCTGTGTGTGGCAGGAATAGAAGAATACAGCAGGAGTGATCCACCCATCAGCTCAGACAGATGTATCAGTGTACCCTGTGTAAGGAAAACTATATTTGGTCTGTTGCTTGTGTCCCATTAAATAAGCATGAGGAAGGTGCCTGCTGCCTGTGGAGGTGGAGATAACATCTCTCACACTCATGGATTGAGGTAAAGACAGTTTAACAGGGAAAGCAAAAGCCATGCATGCAAGCAAAGCAAAACAAGGAATTCATCCACCACTTCCCATCAGCAGGCAGGTGTTCAGCCATCTCCAGGGAAGCACGGCTCCATCACACATAACGGTTACTTGGGAAGAGAAACACCAT